GAGAGAGAGAGAGACAGAGAGAAAACTCTCCTCCTTTATAAAAGCCGAGACAGAGACCAACAAGGAGCGGAATAGAAAAGGAAGGAAGAAAAAGACCGAAGGTAAAATACTGCTTAAATAACAGCGCGTAATAGCGAAGAGGATGAAGTAGAGATTTCACGGAGGTGAGGTGCCAGGAAGGAGCCTGAGGTAATAAAATTACACCCGAGACGATGGTATAACACATCCACGTTTATCTCCTCTGCCTCTTTCGAAGGTTTAGCGAGAAGACAGCGTGCGCGATAAGATTCTGTTCAAATTGCGCGAAAATGAGGGTGGATGAAGACGCGCACGTCGAACAAATATTGTAAACTCGACTTTCCGTCAATTTTATTATAAAATTAACCTGATGATTTGTCTCTCATGATAAAACAAAAAAAAATGAACCATAAAATTTCAAATTGCAATTTAATAAACCTTTCAATTTTATACAACTTGTTGCAAAATAAAATCCAAATTTCAACAGTAAATAAAGGCAACAATAGACCTACTTTTTAATTAAATTTTTTGTACTTGTTCACCATTTTCTCTTTCTTGTCTTAATGTGAATAAAGACAGAAAAAGTTAACTAAACGGTACAAAAAGTTAATTAAAAAAAAGTGATCTAATGTGATAAAGAAAGCATATATATAATTATGCAGGATGTTTTATTTTAATATATTACCCTCAAAATTTTATTTATTTTTAATTTTAAAGAAAAGTGTTTCATATTAAAATTGTAGGACTTTGATCATCTGATGACGATATTGAATCATTTACGGATAACGCTACTGTCGAGATTTTTTTTACGGTCACTATTTTTTTAAACGGAATATATCTTTTATTACATAATATTTTATTTATATAAGATTCTTCTAAGCATTAAAATATTTCATTTGTAATCTCATACTTTTTTGTCCAGAATAACTAGAGGAATCGTATTATATCTTTTACATATATTATATAGTTTTATGGATTTCTTACATCAATCTATATTTATTGTATGATGTTATTTAAAAAAATAGCGATAAATTGACTGGCACCATCTATGAACGAATCAATATTGTAATCATGTAGTTCCCCCGGAATCCTAAATCTTTTTATAAAATATATTTTTTTTTAAATAGAAAATAAAATTTTGAAAGCTGACTTTTGGAAGTCATATTAAAAAATGGGACGTCCTAGTAAGTAAAGTTAAAGCAATTATTTGAGCAATATAATATAAATCAACAATTATTAATTAAGGAAATAAAAACTGAGGAGGTCACGAAATATTGGATTTTAAGTATTTTTTACACAAAAAACTCGATTCTAAGATAAATTCTCGTATATCAAAAAGATTGTACGTTCATTAAAGGAGGCATAATAGTGAAAAAGAAGTAAGCTTCATGGTGGTAGAAAACGTGATGTGACGACAGCGAGTTAAGCGGTTACGACCGACCCGACTGTATCTTGCAATTAGAAACTGGAGAAGAGGTAATTTCTCGTGTGAAATTAGACGTACCTGTGAACGTGCGTACAGTCTCTGTTTCACAATTTCGCATCTAACCTCGGGTACTATAACAAAAAATTACACAATAAATTGATTTTTATCAAAACATGCTGTGGACGAATCTATATCTATGAGTTATCGCTGAAAAAAATAGGATACAATCTTTAAAAAGTTTCGTCGGGAATCGTTTTGTTTATATAGCTTTTAATGTGTTTTTCGTCATAAAAGTCGAAAACTGTCATCATAATCACACTTTTAAGGGAAGGAATCGAATTACTTTATAAAACGTGAATTTTATCATTGCAACTATTATTCAACTTAAGAAAAAACACATTATAATGTTAATATATGGTGTATCATAAATAGTTAATACAACAAACTTGACGGACTTTCCCCAAGTAAAATTGTACTCGCGACTCACGTTCGCTCATCATTGGCATCCACGTGACGGTAGAATAAAAGTCTCGTCTTAGTTAAAGACTTGGAGAGAAAAGAGAGAGAGAGAGAGAGAGAGAGAGAGAGAGAGAGAGACCAAGCCTTGATCTAATCATCGCAAGATATGACAAGCTGAACTTTATTCAGAACTTTAAACATCCCACCGTCAGCTCCGGTTTTAACTTAGTTCCAACGTTTTAACTTCTCCGTTACATCTCTCTCGCGACTTCCTTTCTCCCCCCCCTCCCCTCCCCTCCCCCGCCCCGTTCGCAACTTTTCCACGGAACTCGGACGCGTAATTACGTGTTAGATAAATATGATTGTACACGAGGAGACAGGGACCACTGAAAAGCAACGCGACAAACGCCGCATCGTACGCGATTCCAGTAATGCGAAAAAAATACACGAGACACAGCCGACACGTTGGTTTCGTGTTGGTTTTGGTTGCTTGGTTTTGTGTTGGTTTTGGTTGGTTTGGTTTTTGACACGGTCTTACCGCTGCTTCTCGACAAGGGACACCGTTACTCCAGCAGTAGTATATGTGGAGTGAAACGTCATAAAAAAAAAGGATCGAGCGTTATCTTTATCACTACAGGAGTACCGTAGGTCTCCGCGCGTCCAAAACGAGATAAGAGATCATGTCTTTCGAGGAGAGAAAGAAAGAGAGAGTAATAAAGAGGGGTTGGAGGGGGAGGGGGGAGGGGGTCAGCTAGCTAACGTACAGTCCAGGTCGTTGTTAGACCTGAGACAAAATAATAGGCCTTCCTAATGGTTTATACGTTGACTTATTACGTCGTTCTATTGCTATCGCATTCTAAAAAGACCTACAAGTATTATTACGATTATTACTATTTCGGCTAATTAAAGGCTGATGTGCAATCCGTTACAAACAATAAGATATTGTTTATCATGATTGCAAGATATTATTACTTATTATTTGTAATTATGTACACCTACTTCTTTATAATTAATCGTTTGTTTAAGTAAGTAACTCGCATATGCTTCTTATGTGCCTATTGATGATAAAATCCTCTATAATAAGTAATTTTTATTATTCATTGAAATACCATGAAGACAATGCAATATAATAAATAACAAATTAAGTTAATTATTATTAGATAATCTGTCTCTCTCTGTCTTAAAGTCAATTTATATTGTATTAGATACATATATATTAATGTTAAAATTTCTAATAGTCATAAAATGATACTGGTAGGAATCTTTTCCAAAATTTACTTTCAATAACTTTTTAATTATACGATTAGAAAAACTTAAGAAATAAGTACGAAAGTACAAACTCTGACAAAATACTGACTCAAATTAAAACGTAGATCAGTTCTGCATCAGCAATTCTTTAGTTCTTCAGTTCTCGAATATAAGTTAAAAATAAGTCGAATATTATAAAAAAAACTATTACTGTAAGATTTGTGTGGAATAAATTTCTTTATTATGAACGGATAAATATCTTATGTGTTACAACGTTTTTCTTCAAAAGATAAGCAGATATTATCTTGTGAGCTTGAGAGTAAGCAATACAAAATAACAATAACAATAAATATTGTTTTTAAAGAATTGTTCAACTTATCTGTGAGAATTGATAAAGGAATTATTTATCTAGAGGGTATTTGACACGGTACTGAGAATCGCACGCTGTTAATGCATTAAATTATTACACCGCATTAAGCTGTTACACCACATTAGATCAGAGTATAAACGCGACGAATGTAATTTTGCGATCATATTAAGTGCCTCGAGCTCGTTGAACTTAATTAGCGGAGGCGATGGAAGAAATTAGCCTATATCGCTTATTTATATGTAACCTCGCAATTGTGCTTTACGATCGGCTCTCTATTTCAGTCTTTCGCTTTAGATCGATCAATTTGTCGTCCATTTTGTCGCACAGATATCGCATCCACAATTTATTTGATTGATGTTCGACAAATTCATTTTAGCATCGCTATATTTATTGGCGATATCGTATGAACTCTTATCATGTAACATACCGTTATGCAGTTACTGCATAAATGTGTAAAATACAAGATGTTTCATATTCGTAAAAATATTCTTTGCTAAAAATATTTAAGTCTATCTGACGGATAAATTTATTAACATAAACGAAAATATGAATAGAAAGGAGAAAGTGTTCAATCAAGTTAACTTTTTCTATGGAGAATTTAATTTGACTTTTTATAAAATCAAAAATTTAGAAGAGTTTATCAATATCTTATTAAAAGAAAGTTCGATTGATCTAAGAATAGTTATTTTTGTCAATGATTTCGACGAAAACTTTTTCGACGAAAAAATGAAATTCATAATAGTTTCGTTTATTGAAAATTTGTATTTATCTTTTGTTCGAAAATTTCAAATTCCAATCTATGGCAGGAACACGCTATATCCATATATGTTGAGATATGTTATATGTTGAAATTGAGATATAAAAATCATTTATATTATAAGCTCAAATTTAGTAAGAACTTTTATTACTAATAATAGACGTGAGTTTGATAGATTACAAGTATTTATTTTATAAATTTATCTAATG